ATTTGAACAGCTAGACCATGCAGAAACGGCACTTCATTCAGCTCAAGGATACAAGGAGAGGCAGAGATTTTCACAGCTTCTGTAAGACACCTCCTGAAGCCTTTGTATCATCAGAGGTGCTGACTGACTTCCAAGGCCCCATCAAAGGTTGCGTTGGTTGGCCTGGTTGTTGAAATCTGAAGTAGGCAACCAACAGAACATATGGGCATGTAACCAGCATCTTGCACAGGATGCAAGAGCACAGGACCACAAAAGCAGGACTGGAAAACCCTCTGATAAAGCCACTTTACAAAAACACTTCCCCTGAGTGCTGAAACATTGCTGGATGGCACCTACTAAGTTTCTCATATACCAGAGTGAATTTTGAGGTGCCTACCACATGTCTAGGGGTCACTTGGGAATCAATCAAAAGCTATCCTGGCACATGTCCTTAAAAAACGCTGGTTTGCTAAGTACTGCTCAAACATCAAACACCATCACAGAGTGAGATGAGATGGCTGCAAGCAAGGAGACAGAAAAAAGAGCAGGCAAGAAAAAGAACTGTATTTTCCCATTTCATACAATCACAGAATGGTTTGGGTTGGAAGGGTCCTCAATGACCATCCAATTCCAACACCCCCTACCACAGGCAGGGACACCTTCCACTAGACCAGGCTGCTCCAAGCCCTGTCCAAACTGGACTTGAATGCTGCCAGGGATGGGGCAGCCACAGCTTTTCTGGGCAACCTGTGCCAGTGCCTCATCACCCTCATAGTCAAGAATTTCTTCCTAATATCTAATCTAAATCTCTCCTCTTTCTGCTTAAAGCCCTCCCCCCCTTGTCCTGTCACTACATGCCCTTGTAAAAAGTCCCTCTCAAAGATTTCTTCTAGGCCCCATTAGCTACTAGAAGGCTGGCATAAGGTCTCCCTGGAGCCTTCTCCAGGCTCCCAGAAGATTCTGCCTTCTGCAGAATCCCAGTTCTCCCAGACTGTCTTCACAGGAGAGGTGCTCCAGCCCTCTGAGAATCATTATTTGATGTCAGGATGCTCATTTTGGACAGATGAAGCTGAAGATTCTGTAACACACTACATTTACATTACTGTGAGCAATCACTCGGCTAAAGCAAAATTCAGGCAGCAGGTCCCCACCATTTCTCCCTTCAGGGATTCCCTGACTGCCCCTGAGCTCCCAAAGCACTTGCAGAGTTCAAGGCAGGCTCCCAGCAGCAGCTCCGAGGGCATTATCTCAACCCTGACAGTAAACTGTTACAGCTGCTATGAGGCTCTTGTGCTTCACATTCTCATGGGCCACCAAGAATTCCCATTCAGGAGCTTCCTCGCCCATGTGCCAGATGAGGAACACTGACTTGTCCAGTCACTGTACAGCACCTGATGAGCTCCTCTTCTTTGTGACCAAAGAGATCAACACTTCTCAAAAGAAGGCCCATACAAACCATCTCTGTTTGCACCTTGAGGCACTAGAAAATACCTATCAAACCATGAATCTGAAGGGGGAATTTCTGCTGAAACAGGCCTCTGGCTCCCTGACTGCACAGTGAGCGCAGCTGAGGTTTTAAAGCCCTTAACGCCAAGGTCATTGGCCCAGTAAATTTCCAGGATGGAGTGTACTGATTTTTAAAGATTGTTTTTTTTCCAAGTCTTTTTAAAGATTAAGCATTTCTTTGTGTGTGTGTTTACAGTGAGAAGGAAATGTCTGACTCAGGAAGTAAGCAGCCAGATATGGAAATGTATCAGGATTTTGGTGCATAACAGCATAGGGACAGAGTTCAGCGCAACATAGGATTAATTTCAATTAATTTTAATCACAGCCTATATCTAGGAACCCAAAGTAAGCTCTAAACTGAATTTTCTCTAGGAATGTTGGTGCTAAAGTAAAAAGATGTCTGTTTACCCAAAACGTATCTCAAACCTTACCCAGGCCCTTCTAAAAACACGTATCTTTCATTGTAGAGACAGACTTGAACCTATATACACCCACCCCACCTCCCCAGCCCCCCGCTGAACGAGCACAGTCCTTGACTCATCACCACACCAAAACAGGCAGGTCTCCATTCTTCCGCATCCGACACAGAATCTGTCCACGAACAGGGATAAAACTTTCTAAAGCCTTGACCCTAAAGCGATCCCTTCTGATCCTAAAAAGCACATTCCCTTAGCTCTTGGCTAGAAACATTGGCATCTCCCCAAACTACAACTGCACCGGGCTGCTCATGACTGCGAGCGCGTTTCCTTGCGCCGGCTTTGCCACGACTAAGGTCCCTCTGCCTAACCAATGGGTGAGTTTGGCTACAGGCTAAACATCTCCCTCCAAGAAGATCAAGTTTTACTTTCAACTTCTCTGTCGCCGAGGTCTGGCAGCTGCTGCTCCTGCAGCGCCCAAGGCCCGGCTGCCCGACTTTCCGGTCCCCGCGCCCTGAGCCTCCCGCCGCGGCCCCACCAGCAGCCAACAGCACCATAGCCCTCCCCGTGCTTTCCCTCCGCCCTCCCGCCGGGCACAGCGGCTGCAGGAGGGGCGGGCGCTCCCGCCGGCCCGCGGCCCCCGTCTCCCCGGCCCGCCCCGCAGAAGCCCGGCCCCACAGTGCCGGGGCCACCGGCACAGCTCCGGCTGACGCGTTTACTCCTGCTGCCCCCTCGGCGGCGCCCGGGGCAGCAAGGGGGGGGTGGGGGGGGCTGGCCGAGCTGAGCGGGACCGCCAGTACCGCACCGCCGAGCAGGCGGAAGAAAGAGCGTTCGGGGCGGCGAGTGCTGTGAGGGGAGAGCATCCTCGGCCCGTACTTACAGGAGGGAAGTGGGGAACTACACGGGGTACCCCAGCGCCCGCGAAGCCTGCGCGGGGAGCACCATCTTTGTTGAAGGCAAGAGGGCTTCGCCGGAAGCCGCCGCCGCCGCCCTGCTGCGGGCCGGCCGAGGAAGGGCCGCCGTTGCCGGCCCCGCTGAGGACGGGGCGGGGAAGAGGGGCGCAGTGGCCGCCATGTCAGCTGTGGGCAGCGGGGCAGGGACGCGAGGCCGCGGCTTTCCCCTCCTCCCGGCAGGGAAGGTGGGCCTCGGGCGGGAGGCCTGCTGCGGGGAGGGCTGCTCGTTAGGGTTCGGGGATGCGGTGGAAGCTCCAGTCGGGCGCGGGGAGCGGACCGCAGGCAGCGTTGTCCGCCAGCGCTCAGCCTGCCCTACGTGAGCCGGAATGCGGGAGGAGCGGGTCCCTTCCGCGCCGTCACCGCTGCGTGTGTCTCCGCCAAGGGGGCTCCTTTGCAGGGGTTTGGAGGAGCTGTGCGCTCAGCATATGGGTGGGTGGTTGGGGGCTGTTGGTTGTTTAGCGAGTGTGGCTAAAATTAAATTAGAAATTACTAAACCCCTGAGTTTTCGTGACATTAGAAACTGCTGATTTCATTACTCTATAGGGACGTCGCTTCCTAACTGCATGTATGTGCTAAACGAGACTTCTGCAGGTGCTGGTACCATCGTATCATACACACAGGAATCTTATATCGAATGCTGTGTGTATTCAGCTTCATTACTTTAATGTGGACAGCCTAAAAATGAAGAAACTTTCACCGATGAAAACTGTATAGTAAAGTAAGATCCAGCCTGTGCCTACCGCAGTGCTGTGGGCATGAGTGCACTTTCTCGTAGATTTATCCATGTACTATTGAATACAAAAACATCTTTTTCACATCCTTTTATATGAATATTTGAAATGAAAGTGCTGGAGATGAGCGAAAGCTGTGATTCATAGAGCTGTAACAGTGAGGCGGAGTCATTTCCTACCATATCATCGAAGAACTTTTCTTGCTCCTCACATAGGTGTCGGGTGGCACACGGGCTTAGAGCAGTATCAGCCCTTTCCCTTCCTGTCCGGGTCGCGGTAACAGTTAAGAGGGAAAAGCAAACCCCAAGGTCCTGCATTGATGGAACACGCTACTTTGTAGCTGCAGGCAGCACCAGCGAGGCAGCCGCGGTCTGCTCCGCTGGCGGATGCCTCCCCTCTGGAAAAGCCGGAAAGGTGTTTGCTGCAGCTGCTGCTAGAAATGTTGCCACCGTGTGAATCCTATTTGTACATGCCCTTCAAACTAATGGTACAGATTTGGGAAGATTTAAGGGTATTTGGAGGTTAGCTATGGAAACCTTTATATGCCTTTCCTAGATACCGTACGCGGGAAATACTTGCCATGGGAAAATGTTAACTGAAAGTATCACTAGTAGAGCTCACATACTGCATATGCTTAATATGGTGTTTATCTACAAATTTTTGTATGAATACACACACTTAGTCATACTCAGGGAGCTTAGATCCTTTTATTTTCCTGTGGCTGACAGCAGAGTGGAGAATTTATGTGGGTGCAGAATGTAACAGTGCAGTCTTAAGAGCAAAGCTGGATTTAGGAAACGTCAAAAAAAAACCCACCCCAAAAACATTTAATATGTGGCCAGCTTCTTCAGAAATGCTACTTATTTGTCAATTTTAAAGCAATATTTTTATTTAATCAACATAATGCTTTATCTAGGATTATTTCCAGGCAATAAATTTGATAGAAGGGGGTTTAAATTGCTTTTGAATAATTGATAAATACATCTGTTAAACCAAGGCAAATGTTGGTTTTTTTCCTCAAGCACACATGTTAGCCTTCTAGGAACACAGACATAAAATTAAATACTCCTATGGGTTGTTTCAGGTCGATGCATTAGCATATTTACTATGACCTTGACGGCACTGGAAACCACACAAGTAACTCATGATCGGTTACTCTAAGACATGAAGTATGCTGCTGTTGCAGCAGCCAAAGCACAGCTGAGGCGGTTTTACACTGTCATGTCGCAGATAGTTTTGTAGTACCAGTTGTGAGAAAGTACATTTGTAAACAATGCAAACAGGCACCAGGGAGCAGAGAGCACCAGAGACCTTCTTATATGATCATTCCTCAGCACAGCGCTGCACAGCTGTGGGGAGTTTCCTTTCTGTGCTTCCTCTGTTGATGATTGACAGCTTTTTTTTTCTTTTTCAGTCACAATCTAAGCAACTGTATTATATCTGGGATTGGAATGGCTAGACTTGGAGACTTAAAAATATCACATCATTGTAATCCCGACAGCTGCATTTAATTGCAGATGATGTGCCTACATTTTAAATAGAAAATGAAGACAAGCAGTTACATCACATTTTTTGCCAGGTGAGGCAACTAGGTTTATTTATTTTATACTGTCCAAGAATATCTTGGAAAGTTAGCAAAATGTATGGATATGGACAGAGCAGCTCCGGTTCTCACTGGGGTAAATGGCAGCAGTATTGCAGCCTCTGTTTAGTCACGTCTTTGCTTACAGTCTAAATAAAAGAAGGAAAGCGGTGTAAGGGAACTGATAAGCCTGGTAAGGCAGAGAGTGGGTGACAGCAGAGGTCCAAGTCTGATTAAAGGGAAAATGTGTTTCCTTTTCCTTCCACTGGTTTATACCTAGTGCTGCAAATTCCCTAGTGGAAACTGTAAATGCTCTACTGATGCTTTGGATTCATGTTAAGCTGAACATCCCAGGTGCTGATGGTACTCTGCACTTACAGAATAAGGATGCACACAGGTAATACTTGAAGTCCAAGGAGAGGGAGAGAAGCCCTTAAACCTTTTCTTGTGGTTCTGTTCAGGTTCAGCCCTAGCTAAAGTTCTTCCAGTTCAGTTCTGGTCTGAGTTCAAGAAAACTTCAGGAGGATGGTTCAGTCCTATTCTAGGTTTAGGGACAGACATGTATAATTGAGCCAGTTTGGGTTCAGCTCAGCTCCCCACAGTCAGTCCCACACACCGGTATCATCAGACTTTTTTAGACTTAAAATCTTGCTCTTTCTGGTTCTGTGGACTGAGGAAGCACCAGTGGTCTCCAGGCCACACTTTTGAGGACCACTGAATTCAGGGTAGCAAGTCCAGATCTGTGGGAACCAAGTGAAGCAGCATCTCTTCTGACAAAGCTCTTGTCTTTACATGTGGGTTATTCCAGGTCAGAACACCAGATTTAAAAATGTAAAATACAGTTATAAAGCTCACTTAAAAGTCCAAAATCTTTTTAGAAACTCTGTACAATATAATGAGATTAAAATAAAACCCAACCAAAACCCCAAAACTTTTGAGAGGATTTTCAGTGCTAATTAGAGTCAAACTGTATCCTAGCATGTACGTATTTTCTTTGTTTTCTACAGACTAATTTGTTTCTGCTGATAACAAGAGCCAAAATGTGTTTTTAAAACTAGTGCAAGCAGATTTAATCTATTAGGACTATGCTGTTTTCAATTGTCTGTAGGATAGCATTCCAACTTTAAGGACAAAAGAAAAGAAATATGAGCCTCTAGATTTGTTTATTAAAAACACATCTAATTGGTTAAATCTCTCACAAAACCTCTGAAATGAAGATGGAAAAAAAAATGTATTATATGGTTGCTGTCATTTTTAGAAAAAGAAGCACAGAAAACATTTCTGAATGTGATGCATCTCAAAAACACTTTAAAATACAAGTCAGGCTGGCCCAAGTGGTGGCCTGAAGACCAGACGAGGGTCTTGCAAGCCATTGCTATCCATAGCTATCTCAAGCGATCATCCCTTCCTCCCTGTCCTCTTCCTCCTCACCCAGGTTCCCGCTGCACACCCCTTTTCAAGCGTGGCCTCCCTAATGCCAACACCCAGATTTCTGTGCCAGCCTCTGAAAAACAGGTGGATGCCAAGAAAGGAAGGCTTTGGTATGGAAAGGTTGCCCGACCTGTAAACCAAGCTTTGGCATGCTAGTCTGGGTGCCGGTAGGGTTCGAGGCTGCTGGGCTGCAGGATGGGAGTGTCTGTCACTCTTCAGGTGGCATTTGCAACTCCAACAGGGATTCCTTACCACTCCTGGGAAAAAGTGGCAGGCAGAACTGAAGTGAATCATTGAAGGGGAGTGGCCGCTGGGCTGCCTCTTAGGTTGTTCTGATACTTTGTAACTTTCTATTCACATAAATAATAAAGGCTTTAAATTAAGTGGGGTTTGAAGAGAGCAATGAATATAAAATGGAGGTGACACGTCATGAAGTTCTTTAGAAGTATGATTTTATTAAAAGGCATGCCCAGCATGGAGGTAAAATACATCACAAAGAGTTTCAAAGCATCTTAAACCATGGAGTGTGAACTGACTGTGTAGCGTCTATACATTTACATTTGTTTCAGTAATAAAAACAAGTGTTTATTAGCAGTGTTGCAGTGAATTAAGTCTTAATGATGTTTACTTTGATGCAAATAATCTGTAGCCAAAAGTTGAATGCAGAATAGTTACAAGAAAAAGAGCAGGTATCAAATGTGGAACTTTTGTATTCAGTCCAGAAAAAGCAAAAAGAATCTCTTCAATGAATTGCAATAACCCCCCTGCAATTAATATTTACAAAATGTGACTCGGTATTTCTCAGAATTTTTAGTCCATTTTCGCTAAATACATGAACTAACGTCGTTGTTCTTGAAGTTTAATTTAAAGAGGCTTTGAGGAGACAGATGAAATACTGCAAGCCTCTTCATATTTATTGCAGACTTATGAAACTGGTTTTTTATATGTAAAACAACCATTTTAAATGTGAGAACAAACAAAGAAAATTCACAGATTAGCCTGAAAATCAAACATTTACAAGTAAGTAAAAGGAATTTAAGATTCAAGGTTGAAACCTTTTCACAAAACCAAATAATTTTGTTTGCAAATGACAGCACATGAAATGGTTGTCTAGCATTTTAGATAAAAGACTGGAAGGTTGGTTTTATTTAGGAGAGTAACTGTTGCTTTTTGTAATCTTCTCTTTCTTTCTCAGGCTTTGAACTTGACAAGTTATATACATAGGTATATATATGTGTATGTATATATGTACAAGTTATAAATACAGTACTTATATTTTCAAAGGTTCTTACTTTCAGGTGAAGCATTTCAGGAGCTGATAATGGCTCATGGAAAGTTTAGACAGGTAGCCTAGCAAGAGATTTGCCACTGCTTATACTTTGTCCATACATCCTGTTTTTAAAAAAGAACTCACCTTCAATTAAAAATTCACTTACTGTATTTTGTTCCTTTTCAAAATGAAACCTGCCCCCATGGATGGTTACAGTGGGCTGGTTCAGCAGCCTGCAGTAGGCACTGTGTCCTCCACCAAGGGAGTTGAACACATGAATTGTGCCAGAAAACAGTTATGTTCTCACAGGCAGACAGCATGCGGCTGAAGCACTTCAGCTCGCACAGGAGCTGTGGTGCCACTTCCACTGCAAGCTAGCCAGACGAGAATCTCACTTTCCTAACTTTCTTCTTTTTTTCTAGCAATGCAGCCGGTCAGAGGTACTCCATCACTGCAGCTAAATTTCCTGTCAATGTCAATTGAAATATGAGTGACTTTTCACCCCACACTAATAAGTTACAAAATGTCAAGTCCATTTTACAGATGAGTAAATTGCAGCTTATGCAGTCTCAGTCTTGTGTAGTATTTCTCTTCCTAAAAGAAAATGAACCAGCTGAAAACCCCATAAATGGTAAGTTGATGCACAACTTACTCTGCCCTCCAGACTGCGTCAAGCTGCACACTAGGTAAGAAGAAAGCCAATGTGTGACATGTCATACAGGTGTCCAGCGCAATCCCTCAGGTTTGGAGGTGCCCCCTGAGACAAACTGGGTGCGGGCAAGAGGCTCAGCAGAACAGGACTGCAATCTAAAAGAGGTACAATTACATTGTAACAAAGCATTTTGAAAAGGGATTTTACAGCCTTCAACTATCAGTCTTACAACTGTTTCTTATATAATGCTTGCTATCAACCCTGATCCAAATAATCTCAATAAAGTCAAAAGAAGAATTTGGGGCTTTCAATCTTTTTCCACATTTTACATACCTCTGCATTTACTATTTGTTAACTGACTTTGCACCAAATTGCAGTCCTCAGCTATGAAACATCAGTTATGGAACAATTTGACTGAAAACAAAAGGATTTACTTACGTAAACCCTGCTTGCCAGTGAAAGAAAAATTAAGGCAGGAACATGGAATTTTTGGAGTTTGTTTTCAAATTTTGTTCTTTGCAGCATTCACCACTGAACTTCCCCAGGCTATTATCTGTTTGAACTTTCTCCTGCTAAATGCCAGCTTGTTCATTACGCTAATATAAACAGCTTTTGCTCCCCCATTTTATTCCTCCTTTATACCATAGAAAGTGATGGTATTATTTCGGTATTTCAGTTCCTGGAGAATTAATGGCTCAAATTCTGGAAGAAAACAAACCAAAACACAGGTGCAATCCTTTTTAAAAAGGGGATTTAAGTTGAATAAAATCCATAATTTATGAGGCAGCCTAAACACCATCATTTTGGTGCTATGTTTTCACATTTCCCTCAGTTTTCTTAGAGGCAATGGCTACTTCAAAGCCCTGTAGATAACCCAATCAATAAACAACAGTTTTTGAGCATTCCTCCCCTTGGCAACCCTTGGACCAGGGCAGACTGATTCGCTAGATACTTATTTTTTAGTTCCTGAAATTCAGTTATCCAGCCAGACTTTGTTTAGATGTGGTTAAACTGTGCTGATACTAGCTACTCCCCTGGACCTAAAGGCATTACCTTAGGTCTACTAATACACCTTTCAGTGCTGTACTAGTCCTGATGGTTAGTTATTTGACACACCTTGTGAGAAGTGCCACCTCTCACAGGACGTGCTGGCCTTTCCCTTCAGTCCCTTCCCAGACACCAAAAGCCAGACATGTAATTCCCTCCTCAGCAACCAGAGTAACTTCTTATCATCTGGTTTCCTGGCAGCTGTGTTTTACCTAGCTTGTAGGATGATGTCTGTCTAAGACAGCAGGTGAGGACCAGCAATGGTCAGCAGTGATGCCTTCACAGCCCCTGGCAGCACCAACTCTGCCTCCCAGTTTCTGTGACTGATCTTCAGCCCCTTGTAGAAATTACCCACTCTTGGCAATGCTGTGGCAAACCACCATGTTGTTGTTCTCAAACCGTGGTGACTGAAGTTATGTGCTGGTGGAATGTTTCCAGGCATTTTCAGTCATGCTAAGGGCTTAGCAAAATACTGAGACCTGCTGAAGTGAAGGCTAATAAAGAAGTGGTTTTCAGGAGCTGGGCTGAGATACCAAAGTAGCTTGTCATCCCCACTTCCGTTGTGTATACAGCACCAACCAGCTCAGACCTTCCAAGTAATTTCTAGTTATTCTATTTGGAAATTTTAGGGTTTATATACTAATATTTTCCTTTGATTCTATATTTTTTTGTTGTTTGTTTCTCTTTTTTATGTCCTTTCAAGAGAAAAGTTTCTTATTGAGAATCAGTAATACAGCTTCTAGAATCCCTGAAGCCATCCTTTCCTCTAGCAGTCAATATGATACTTAGATTTATTTTAATGACAGCAAAGTCAGCAGAAATTTTATTTTACTGTTTTTTAAATTCCTATTAGACATGACACCCATATCTAAAGGTATCTTTTCCTATTTCCATCATGTGTTTTGGCTTAAGAAGAACAAGGTCTGACACCACTCAATTTACTCTATGCTACATATTAAGCCTATAGACAAAAGAAAAATCCATACAAATTTTATCAGGAATACAAGAAGAAGCTCTTGATAGAACATGTAAGTAAATAAAGTTTTCCTATGATCATCAGCAAGGTAGTTTACCTCCAGGAACACTTTGCTAAGACACAGTACAGGACTTCATGCAACTACAAAGCCCTGTCCTTCCTATCGTATGTAGACGGTTTGCTTAAAGAGTCTCAGATTCTAAAGCTCCACAGTTTTCAGTGAGGAGTACATTCAGAATGTACATAATACAAATTATGTTTGTATTTTTTTAACATAAAAACCCCACTGCCCCCATATTCTAGTGAACAATTTTTCTTTCTTGCTAATAATTATATATTGTTGATCTAGAATGTGGTTACATAAAATACAATTAGGAAAATAGTAATGAGATGAGATTAAAACAAAATTGCTTCTGATGCACTGGGATCAGCTGCTTGGTTACATTCCCAGTCTACCCACCTATCTTGCACTTGAACCCTTTTCTGTCTCTGGTGACAGAAAAGGCAGCAGGGAAATGCCCATACAACTGAAACAGAGCCATAGTTCACACTTCTGCTGGGCTTAGTGCTAAATTAAATACAGTCACCAATTCCATTTTTATCATTCATCTCACAATTGGGTTTTTATTATTTTTTTAAGCATCACCTTTGAGGACTGTGGGGCTCTCAGTTATCCTTTCATTTTCAGCAACTAACATTCCAGGAATAAACTGGAAAATCTGAAACCTCAAGACTCTAAAATGAAAAAAAAAACCAAACCAATACATGGGGTAAAAAAAAAAGAAAAAAAAAAGCTTAGGATTAGAGTCCTTATCATGATTTTGGGTTGATACACAGGCACTGAACCTGTGAAACTGGCTCCACTGACCACTCTGTACTAGCAATTCAAGATGACATATATCAGTTAGAAGTAATTTTTGGAATCCAGAGGGGCAGCAATTTAAAAGCTACTGCTGCAAACAAGCCATATCCATAAACTGGGAAAAAAAAAAAAAAAAAAAAAAGGAAAAAAACAAACCCCAAACCCCAGAAAGCACTGGAACTCTTTTTAAAATGTTTGGACATGATAGTGCCTGGAAACTCATGAGGTCTACATGCAAGATTTTTGCACCACTGTAATCTAATCATGTGCTATCCTTGGATTTTTTTGTACCAGAACAAGTCATTCCTCTGTGCTGTGCTAGAAGGAAGCCGAGCTTTCAGCAAGCTATGGCGTGGTTTAGTTTTACTAGTGCAATGCATCAACCCTAGGGCTGGCATCCTAGTAAGGACAAGAACTGTGCTTTCATACAAAGAGGACTAGTTCCCCCTCCAGTCTGTTCAAAATATTGTTCAGTGCTTCGAGCACGCCCTGGCTACAGCCCCTATTTTTCCTCACAGTAACCAACACAAACAATACAAAGCATAAGTCAGTATGCTCAGTGTTTGGTGATTTGATTCCACATCACAGTAACTACTCGTATTGTTAACAAGAATTGCCACCTTTTGCTTTACTAGCACTCCTTGTCCTCAGCCTGCCATTCGCCCTTGTGCTTTGGCGAGCTGCCGACAAAAACCCAGTGAGCTGCTCTGCATCTGCCCCACATCATTCCTCAAAGCTTGGCTCTGCTGTGGGGAACACCTGGCCTGCCACTGCTTACAGTAGGCTGCCAGCAATGAGCCAAACATCATTTCCTGCATGTACAACACAACTGGCTCACTGCACCCCAAAACTCTTATCTTCTCAGTCTGCCGGTTCCAGTATTGGTGTTCATGATTTTAAACCTGCAGGCCAGGGGCTAGACCGGAATGAACTCATTTTAAAGGACCTTAGTATAATGTGTTCACCACTGAGACCCCAAGCATATCACAGCTAAGCATCACCTTGGCTAAAAATGCCCCCAGTAGGAAGTTAATATAGCAGATTAGAGCATTTCTTACTGTGACAAAAGTTACTCTCTGCCGCAGCTATCTCATCTCAAGGTAGAGCTAGACAATGACTGTAAGAGAGCAGACTCATCAGAATGAAAGCATTCCCAGAAATACAGTTCTTTCACAGGCAGCGCTCATAGGAAAAGCTCCTCAGCTTCAGGGTGGCAGATCCTAGCAAGACAGACGACAAGCACAGAAAAACTGTGTGATTATGATGCATACCTGGAATACAAGGGCTCCTCTGAGATGGGAACCAGAGGGTGGTCGTCATGTGATGTGAAAAACTTCCAACAATCTGCTACACTTTGGCAGGGCATGGGGAAAAATTTTACATAACAAAAGCTTTTGTTCTGTTTTTCATGAGAAAACTCGCCCCATTTCTATACTAAATCTTACATTAAAAATGGGGAGAGAGAATTGAAGACATGGGGAAAGAAAACCCACCTCTTCCATAGAGAGAACATACCAAGTATTTGCCCTACCAAGGAACCATCCCTTTCTGGCTCAGATTCTCAGTGTCTTCCTTATCTTAATGACTGTCCTACTCATTTGTGCCAGCATGCTAATGACAAAGCTAAGTGTGTAACAGTGGGAGTTCAGATGCAATAAAATAAGCTGGTTGATGCTCCAGAGTTTATGAGAAGGGACAGAGCATAGTGACAGTACTACAGAACAGATAAGGCATGAAGAAAACAAGACAATTATTTCATATTGTTTCTGTTTTGTCCTGGGCAGGGCTACATTACAGCAAGTCCTGACAATCCTCCTTGTTCAAACACAGGTCTATTTGCTTTAATTAAAACGTAAGCTACAGAAAGAGTTAATGTTGACTGAGGACGATGCCCTTGCTTCTCTCTTTACTCTCCCCTATTACTCTCATCTGGGTTATTTTTTCTCTGAAACACTTTACATTTAGGCTAAGGAACAGGTACCCAGGATTTCAGACCCTTCTTCCGATTTGAAGGACTGCTGTAACAGAAAAGACAATGTCCTATGCTAATACCTAACTACAGGAATTCAGCAGGCAGCCTCTAAACCACTAACCTCAACCTAATACAGCTATTCCTTTGAGCAGCACCATAAAGGCAAACCAGGGATATGCTTCCTCACCGATACATGTGCATTTATCTATTACCTGGGAAATTATACAGGTTCCTAAGATCAGTTTCCTGAAAAACAGTAGCAAATCCATACATAAAAAGATTGGGAGATTGTTGTGTAATTTGTTTCACTTTGTTTTACTTTATTGAGTAATAGTCTGATAACTACAAGGGTGAATTAGAAAAAAAAAAAAAAGAAAAAAAAGCCCCAACCCCCTAAAAAACCCCAAACATACTTCCCCACATTTTGGGAAACAAGCTGAAGAAAACATTCTACACTGTAGAAGACAGCTGTAACTGCTGATATCCATGTTTTGACATTGGAACTGAGTAACTTCAAGTCTGCAGCATACAGTCCTAAAGCCTCCAGCAAAACAGGCTTACTAGTAATAACATGGATATATCACCACTGGGAAGATGTTAACCATGTTGAAAACTCTGGGGTACCAATCTGGTATAATCCACAACATACTGGGTTCCTATGAAAGATGTGGCACTTCTCCTTAAGGTCAGCTTTTAGAGAACTTTGAAAAACTGTGTTTTGAACTTCTTACTTGCAGTGTTCCTTTGCTTGCAGAAAAGCACAAGAATTATAGTTCAATAAAGACTGAATACAAGATCAATTTTTTTAGTGGATTTGATTAATTGCGTAACTTTGGCAAGATTACCACTGCATGATCCAGTTAAGCTTTCAGGATTATATGAACACCAGCACCAAATTAATCATGGAATCAGACAACTGAGATACTTATGCACTCTCATACGTCTTTGACCACTTCTGCAGTTTCTCCCAGCCCCACTACTTCGGTTAGCATTTGATAATTAGCGCAGTATTTTATGCCATTGACAAAGCAACATGATCTGGACAGATTCCTGGCTTCTCTCTCCTTGCAAGAATAGCATGCCACCTTGTTGAACCCCCGAGGATGCAAGCTGAGATTATTCTACATAAAGTCTCCCTTTGTGGCATCTGAAATTAAAACCTTTCCCCCAGAACTGCCACTGTTTTGATAGTGAATTCCATGACGATTTGTTCAACTGGTTACTCAGTTCTTTGGCTGATTTTAAGAATTGCATTTAAAAGTTACTCTACATTACAGGCATTTAGAAAATATATTTATACCTGGTACTGGTACTCTTTCAAGTACTCTTTTAGTCTTGTTGGTAATGGCAGCTCCCAGATCTGATTTGTGCATTTGTTTATAGTTATTCTGCAGCGGTGTTGCAGAGATGGAGTGGACGTATAGAGAGGTTTGTTCAAGTAAAGATGAACTGTTCCATTTGAAGGTGTCTCTGTTCTGTTCTTGCACATAAGAACATAGTACTCAATCAAATGCACAACGCTGTCGAATTGCTTAAGTCTAGATCTGACACATGTGATAGAGTCCAGTCTAAACTTGCCATCTTGATATTCTATACGTAGATTGGTCGGTCCCGCTGATGTTTTTACCGAAATAGTCAACAGATACTCTGAATGTGAACTATCCCTAACCAAGAAGGTCCCTTCGGGAGCATCCTGTAATCTCTCTTTAGCTTCGGCAACAGTCATGTTGCCCCAGTACCATCCTGTCAAAAGAGAAGAGATAGAAGGGTTTGGTTTTGTTTATTAGTGTTGGTTTGTTTAAAAAGCCACTCTTCGGCTGATATACGTGTAATAACCCATTTCCTTTGTTGTTTGAAAGTCCTGCAGGCATTCTACATTTTTATTTGCTATTTAAATTCATTTGCTTCACAGTGCGTCTCGGTTTGACAGAGCCTTCCAGATCACTGTTCATTTTCCTATCTATGCATACACGCGCACAAACTTTCCTAGAGCGTCCTGAGAGGCTAACACCGAAGGTGCCGACCACCACGGGCTGCCGGTAAGGTAGCAGAGACGCGTCCCGCGGCGAGCGCGGCGTCCGCACTGCACACGCTGGCAGCCCGCAGAAAGCCAGCTTTGGAAACTCTAGGTAGTCTGTTGTTGAAATGTGCTTTGTCTAGCAGTCGGAAGCAGAGAGCTGAGGAAACAACTTCGGCGGTGCAGCTGCGGTCCTAGCAGGGCGCAGGAGAGGCGATGAAGACCAGAAAGCCACTTCATCCGCCCGCGGCCAAGTCCCGCGTCGTGTAGGGCCGGGCGAGCCGCCGCCAGGCCGGCGAGCAGAGCGCAGGTACGCGGCGGCGAGGGGATGCGGCGGCGCCGCCGCCCGCCCGGCACACTGCGGCCGCCCCGGCCGGCAGCAGCGCCCGGCCCTAGCCCGGGAGGCGATCCCGGGCTGCCGCCGGGGCGCGGCGCTGCCGGCGCTTTCGCTTCGGCCGCCGCAGCCCGCGGAAGGTCGGAGCCGCCGCCTCCCCTCGCCGCCGCGGTGCCGCGACCCCGCAGCTCTGGGCTGTGCTGGCAAGCGTCGCCCCACAGTCCGCTTCCCCTTTCGGCCCGGCGGGGCAACCCGCCGCCCCGCTCCGCCTCCCCTGGGTCGGTGGCGCGGCGGGCGGCAGCGAGTCGGGCACCCCGGCGAGTGCCGCTTCCCCCGGGCGCCCTCTCCCCCCGAAGCCGGCAGACCGGGCTTACCTGCCCGCCGCAGCTCCTCCATAGCGGCGGCCAGCTGCGCCGCCTCACAGAACTCCTCGGCAACAGGCGCCGCCGTCCCGGGCTGTCCCCAACGCGCCCGGGAGCCCTCCGTGCTCTCCAGGGACTCGGCGGAGCGCAGGGTCATGGGGGGCGGCGGCGGCGGGCGCGGCCCCGGTCGCACGCAGGTCGGGGGCTGCCTGCACGGAAAAGGCTCCGCTTCGCCGCCGCCGCCGCGGTGCTCAACGCCGCGACGGGTTCATGGCCCCGACCCCCGGCCCGGGAGCCGCCTGGGAGGGGAGAAAGCGTGGTTAGCGGCGAGCCCCGCGAGAGGCGCTCCCGAAGCACCCTGTGCGTTTCTAGCGCTCCCTCTTCGGAACTTCCCAGCATCCAGAGGAGGGACCCGAGGCGAGAGATCACCTCCCGGCGGAGGGGGGGAGGGACATCTCCTCCCCCCGACGCCCAGCCTGTCCCCGACTCCCCTCCGCCGGGGACGAGCCGGCGGACCGCGAAGGTGGTCTCCCTCTATAGCAAGGGCAAATCCGCTGATGCGCCGCTCCCTCGGCAGGGGTAGGCGAAGCTGGGCGGCAGCGCTGGAGAGGGGGGGGCGTTTGGAGAGGTAGGAAGTCGTGGGACTTTACGCTGGGCACGTAAAGGTACGAGCAGGATTGGTGTGGGGGGAGGAGTAACGGGGAGCGGGACAGGTCCCAGACCCGGCGCTGTTCGGCTTGCCCGCTGCGACGCGCAGGAACAGATCGGTCCGCCTTTCACTAAGGTCACACGAGAAACCGTACCTCTAGGAACGGCAGCAAGGTGCTGTCCGCATTGCCGGGGCGGGAGTGAGTCCCTCCCGGACAGCGGGGCGCCCGGGGGGCTGGAGGATGGTACGCGGGCAGCGCCGGGGATCGCTGGCCGCTCGGGTACGGGAAGGGGCAGCGCGGTGGAGGACGTGATATATATATATATATAGCTCGGGGCAGGAAACATGCTTTTTCCGTTCCATTAAACGCTGCCGGTATTACAAAAAAACATTTATCTTTCCGCTGAGCTGAAGCGAGCGGGGGGGAGGGAGGGCGAAAAGAGCCTCTGGCTCTCCCACCGTCACACCGGGAGCGACATGGAGCCTGGCAGCCGCAGCGAGGGGAGCCCCGCCGGCTTCGCCGCAGGCGAGAGGGAGCTCTCGGGAAAGGCTGAGCTGCCAGCGGTGCCTGCAGGCCGGGCAGAACCTCTGCCCCGCGGTGTGCAGCAGCCGCCGCCAGGTGAAGGGCTATGCCAAGGTGGCTCCTCCCGTCACAAGTTTCCGCGGCGGAGCATGGTAACTTCCAAATGAAACTTCAGCGGCAGCTGATGGGTCGCTCTGCCGGGTTTCTATCGCAATACAGGCAGGCACAAGCACGGCAACCCCCGTAAAGCCCATCCCCGACCCTCCCGCCACCAGCTCGGGGTCCGGGCGCAGGTGCGCCAGCCGCTGGGGCTGCTGCGGGCGCGGGGCTGCCGGCCGCAAATCCCGAGCGCAGGTGGGAGCAGTCTTGCCGCGGGTGCCCGGGTGCGACCCCTTGCGAAGGGGAAGAGCGGGAGCGCCTAGTCGGCAAGTGCCGCAGCCCGCCGGTGCTCGGCGGGGACGGAGGGTTTGAGAGACCGCGGTGGTTAGCTGCGGCGGGGTGTCTCCCGGCAGGGATGAGGAGCGCCGGAGCAGCTTGCCTCCGGCTTCGGTGGAGCCTGCATCCCGCCTGCCCGGGAGCGGGGCGGCAGGCTCCCTGCTCTCGAGGAGCGGCAGGGCACGGCGCGCAGGGCGGGAGAAGGACAGCGGGACTCACCCAGGCTCGGCCGGACGGGGTTGGGGCCGCCGCTGTCTCCGCCTGGAGGTGGGGTGCTCAGGTTGTTGTCGCTGCCGGCGGCAGCGGGGAGCACAGCACCCGCCGCCGAGGAGAAGCGTCGAGGCTGTGCTGGGGCAGACAGCCTGCTGGAGGAGGAGGATGGTGCTCCTGGGGAAACAACACCCTCCGCTCCCCCCCTCTCTCCCCGGCGCGGGCGGTCTGTTCTCCTTTGATTGCGAGGCGAGGGCATCCTGCCCCCGCCGCTCCCCCCTCCCGGGATGGCTACATACAAAGGCTGCTTTCCAGGAACTTTCCAGGAACCGCATCATGTGACAGGACCCGCTCCGGCGCCTCCACCGCGACTCGCGGCCAGCCGGGGGCCGACGCACCGAGAGCCGCCGCCCCTTGTCACGCCGGGGCAAGCGGTCGCCTCAAACCTTCTCCCCTCACCTCCCGGTCCCCGCGGGCCCAACCCCTCCGCCCAACAGAGGGGCGGCAGACGCGCGGCGAACCAGGTCAGTGGCTGAGGGCCGCTGAGGTACCGGCGAGCGGGAGGCCGCTGAGGGAGCCAGCCGGCGGGGCCGTGTCACGCGGGGCGGCGCACGCCGCCCCGCGAGACACGGCCCCGCCGGCGGGCTCCCGAACGGCCGCCCGGGAGCGGGCCGCGCGGCACCTCGTGAGGTAACCATGCGAGCGCGGGAACGCGGGTCCTGTATTTCTCCCCCCCCCTTCTTCCTTCTCCTCCTCAGTGATGGCGGGGTTGAAGGCGAAGGGGGGGGGGGGGGTGGACGACGGGGGACGGGACCCTGCCTTGCCCTGCGCCAGCAGCCGCGGGCACCTGAGCTCGGCAGCGGTGGCGGGGCCCGCCCTTGGGGCAAGGAGCGAGGCAGAGGAGGGGAGAGAGGGCCGGTGCCAAGAGCTCCGTGCCAGGGGCTTGCGGCGGCCGAAGCTCCTGGGACACCCCACCCTGGTCTCCACCCCCCTTCACCCTCCGGCGCTAAATACCTCGTTGCTACAAACAGCCATTACCCGACGATGCGCGCGCCGCTCCTTCCTTCCCCCCCCCCCCTTTTTCCCTCCTTCCCACCCCCCCACACCGCGTTTTTTTCAATTTATTTACATATTTATTATTAAATAAACCCGAAGCTGGTAGGTGTTTGGGTTTTTTTTATTGGCGTAAAGATGATTGATTGCACCATGGGTGCTGTTCGTTAACCAGCCGCCTCCCGCCGCTGCTTGCGCCGACTTAGAAAGACCTCAACACTACCCCCCCCCCCATATATAAATAGGAAAGAAAACAGGGAAACAAAATCAAAGTAGCCTTATTTGTCCCATCCTGGCTGCAGGTCAGGGCGCCCTGCAACGGAGATGTTTGGGAGAAGGGAGTATTTTTCGGGTTTGACGGGAGGAGGAATAAGGTCTGTCTTTTTAAAGGTCTCTAGGGAAAAATTACTATAAAATAGCACAACAAATAATCTCTTTAAAAATCGGTGTATGTGTGTGTGAGTGGGAAGCCTTTGTTATCTAAGGGATAAATGAATATGTATTAGACTGGACGGTGTAGCTGAGGGAGCAGGGCAGCAGCGGCACGTCAGCTCCCTGCACAGGGAAAGCTCCCACAGGGACACTCCTGTCTTGGCCGCACTCCCCAGAAACTCCTGAAATTCAGTGTTTCTTTGAAAAATATAAAAAATAAACAAAACGGGGGACCATGGAGGACAGTTTCTGAAGGCTTTTGTAATAGCTATTACTTAGAATTTATAAACATCAGGGGGTGAGGGAAGAGTATTGAGAGTTAATAGTTCTCTTAAAAGAAATAAAAACTGTAGTAAGTAATTAAGCAGATTCATCTGAGGGAAAAAAATAACTTTGTTAAGTGAATTGGTCAATATGGTTTAATCAGTTTGTAATGCTAAGGTGCTTTTGAATTTAATTAATTTAGTTTATGAAAAAAAAAGTAGTTTTAATCACTGACAGCACAGCAGATTTCAGATGAGGTCTGAATAATGGGTTTTCTTACTTAAGCATTCTCAGAAATGGTTTAAAACAATTTAGGTCTTGAAGGTCATTCTTGTTCCTGTTTTCGTCTGTGTAATTCAGATAGCCTCAGATCAGCCTTCTGAAATCCCCACTAACTTTTCACTGGATAGATTTGAAGAGAGGAGAAAATATGTCTGTGTCCTTTGAAATTTAGTTTACAGTTCTGCTACTGACGATGTGAGACCTTTTATAAAATCTAATTTAGTATTTTCAGAATTGCACTGGCTTCACTGTGTTCAGAAAAAACAGCAGCAACAACAACAAAAAAGGAATATAAATCGATTTTTATTACTAAAATAATTCCAGATACATATATACAGGCATAGAGCTTTTGCTCAAAAAAAAAAAGTTATTTTGATATAACAGTGTTCAAATTAGAGCTATTCCTTCAAAGTTCACTAATTCATCTTAGAGAAATGGGATGCACATTTGTCCGGACGCAAAGCTGCCTTTTACAGCTTTGCTGTAGTTCTCTTTTTCTATGTTATTAATGGCATTTTTATGTGGATAGTATCTCAAGACTTCCTTTGCTTCTGTTGTTTATTCGTCACTTGAAGTCATAATAATTTGTTTCTAAAACCACAGCTGGCTACTGTGAAGGCAGAGAGGAAGACTGTGATTTATGTGGTGAATCAATAACAAGAACAGAGGAATGACATAAATATTTGTTACTTAAAACTTCAAATATTGCTATGAAAAAGGTAGCATAAAAACTAAATAGGCATAATATCAGCAGGATCTTTCCTGTACAGAGTTCTGTTAATTTATTTTGTTTTTTTCCTGAGAAGTTAATGCATTTTTAAAATAGTACTAAAGATCTGATAAATTTACAAGAGCAATGAAATTCAAACTTAAAAATCGATCTTTAAATGACACTTTTGGCACCTCGTAAGAGTAGAATACTTAGGTTCACAGTTACCTTTATTCTCTGGTATGAGACTTCCCCAAGTGCCATAGGCTCGGTGGAGTAAGTATTTCACTGTTGCTTTCAACAGTGTTAGCTGGTTCTCTCTGTCTGTGTGAGTCTTTGACAGTCACAGAGGAGAAAAAAATAAATAATTTTTAAGGGTAAGAAAAGGTGATTAAATTAAATTACTTTGGGGATTATGGGCCACATGTGGTGCATGAAAGTACTTTAAACTATTTTTTAGCTTTTTTGGCATTAGGATGTTTAATACATGCTTGGTCTGCCTTAAGTGTTTAACTCTGTAAAAAATTAGAATTGAGTAGGAGGGAGGTGTGAAATGGAGAAAGAAGCAGCAGACTGAAAACTTAGCTTTCCATCAAGTAAATAAAAGAAGGCTTCTAATTGACAACTAACAAACAGTAATTCTAAACAGAGCCACTGATATGAAAAGAAAACTAGTTTGTACAAATGGGGATTTAAAATTCTTAAGTACAGTTCAAAGCAAGTGCTTTATTTTTAGTCTGTATTTTGGGGTATTAGTTCTAGGACAAATATTGCCTGTATGTATATGGTTATGAATGCTTCTGAGCTAGTTCTAGAGGTGTATCATTCAACTGGACATGAAAGGCACAAGCTTAAGGAATCTGTGATTTCTTTTCCAGATACTTTCTACTATGCACGAATGCTTTGGTTTGGGCAGGGTATTTTCCCTCTAGTAGATATTTTAATTGATACATGTGCTAGTAGTGAAAACATAAACAGTAAGAGTTCTTGAAAATCACAAGCAAAATAGATTATATTTCTGACTTGTTTTCAAACATGTGTGCTCAAAAAGAGAAGGGGAGGGACGAGTAGATTTATTTATTTTTCCTTTAGGTAAAAACCCCTTTCATGACCAATGGAGGAGGCAACATTTTTACAGTAGTGTGGAGTGCCTATTGCTAGAAATGATTTTCACTTTGTTCCTGAAAAGTATGCCAAATTCACTGGAGAACTAGCATGCTGATTTATTTATGTAAATGACGCAATCTGGGGCGGGGGGATGGGGGGGGAATTCATTTTTGGCCCAGCTGATTTTGCTAAATTTGCTTTGATCTGCTGAAGAGGTTTACTGGTTTATTTAGCTGGAGTTATCTAGCTACCTGAAAGAATACAAGGGGCCTTTCCTTGTTCTCTGTATCCCCACTTCCTGAAGATACAGCACCAAATAGCCATTATCCATGACATACCTTTTGGTCAGATAAAATTTGCTTTAGTTAAAAGGTCAACTATTGCTTACCACTTACCATTTATATCTATTTATTGACCATATTTTGACAACTGTTCACCTGAACCGAGCTAAATAACAGTGTGTAACTCCTTCCTGCCCTGTGATTGCAGTGGCCAGGCAGCATGTCTGGTTCTCAAGCAGAGAAATATGACTCTTTGAGCCTTTATCTCAAGCAAATTAGAACAAGTTAATTGTAGCTCCACACCACAAACAAGGTCTGCAGTGTGAGCCCTTAGAGAATTTCTCACTCAGCGGTCGGAAGAAAGGTTTGCTTATTTCACAAAGAGTTCCTAAAACAGAATAAATACAGCAGAGGAACAGAATGTTTTGATGAAATAAATAATGATGTATACCAAACAATTTTACTCTTAACCAGCTGCCACCTTATTTCCTGCCATTTTTATCTACTGAGAGGTGAATGCTTTAACTTTCTTGAGAATATACGTTTGGTAAAGGAGAATAATCAAAAATTCAGTGGATAATAATTTTTATGAATCAGTGGTGTTCTAAAAGAAAGCCAGTACTTGTGATTTAAAAGCAAACCAAGAGGTAGCACTAAGAGAGCAGTACTTTGAAATAACATTCAGATTATTTTCTTTCAGAGATGGTGGAGAAGAAGGATTATTTTCTTGCAGTTCAGTGGATAGGTAATCACCAGCAAGCATGAAACTCTGACCATAAAAAAGAGTGGCATTGAAATCCTTCTCTCATCAAGTGCTTCAGACTATTTAAAACTTAGGGTAGCATCTAAAGGCCTCAGCTGCAGTGAGTAAGAGGTTATTGAGACACATTTAGGATCTTTAATTAAAACCAGTAAATGTGGAGCTTTTATAGTTTTTCTAGTTTACTATTTACAATTTAAAGTAAAAACAAAATACCATAGAAATAATTTGATTGCACTTGTTAAGGAAAACTGGAATGTGGTGACAGGGTACTAAGTATATATATTTTAAAAAAATATAATGTACACATCAGTTTTCACCTTATTTTATGTTAGGCTTCTTTATAAACAGCAGAATTCAGGTATGTCACTTTGTTATTTGTGAATTGTCTAACTCTTAACTACAACTAGCTAAATATTGCTGGAAGTTACCTGAGGATAATTTGTAAATATAGACCCTTTGACAGCATTTTCTTTCCTAGTACAGGTCCTTTTCAAGAACCCAGTAGAAAAAAAGACTTCTGGCAAGAACTGTTTTGATAGCAGGCATTTTAAACAACTACTAGGAGAATATTTGCTATGGATTTCAATATTCAGATTATAGTGTAAGATGTTGTGGCCGTACTATTTGTTTACCTTGGGTTTGGGGCTATAAAAGGGTGTAAATGTCTGAGAAAAGGTGTATAGGTGTATATATACACATACACCTACACATACACATGTTCACAACCACACTCTTTGAAGTTGTGGGTTTTTTGAGAAATGTATACTCATCTTTGTCTTAGAAAAATCCTAGAGATAGCACAGCTGAAAGCACTGTGAAATCTTGCATTCTCGTCCTAGATGCTGCCAGAAAAAACAAGCCTTTTATGCTTGAGGAGGCTTGAGATGTTTTCCTGCCAGTTGCGAGTTCTACTTCTCAAACTAAAAGAGCAAGTAATGTCTGTGAAAAAGTTTTCCTGACAGACGGCATGCAGGCATCTCTCCTGTGCTCTGCCAATCCCTGAGTAATTAAAGTTTCTTTGTTGGCGAAGAGTCAGTTCTGAAGCTAATAAGGAAAATTAAAACAGGTGATGCAGTGGCTATCTTCAAAGGGGAGAGTTTTGAGTGCAAAGTATAATGAAGATGAAGAAGAAACTGGGTTATATGTCTCTGAATAAATGGTCTTCCATCAGAAAAAGATTAATTTTAAATCACTGTTCTAGTTCTTATATTAGAGATGGTTTAATTCACCCAGAGCTATTTGGCCTGGAGAATGAATTCCTACAATTAAGTGTTTATGATTGAAAGTGCTGCCATGGAAAGCAGACAGATGAATATCATTTCAGGAGTACTGTGAATCATTAAATGAGTTGTAGAACCTTTTCCTGGGCATGAGCCACTTTTAAATTTCAGGGTAAGGCTATAATAGACTTCAGTATAAGGCCTGATGGGCTGCTGTATTTAAGAGTTTGAATAACAGGATAATCAATTTGTACTAATGTGCTTATATAATTTTCAACTTCTTACAGTTAATTGAAAATATGCTGCCCATGGTATGTGCCCATGTGCTGCTTGGATCAAATACTCTTTTCAGATGAGTGCATTGTGAGTTTGAGGTAATAAACTTAACCTGCCTCTGACGTGTTGGCTTCTTTTGGCTCAAGACAGGCATGGCTGCTTTCCCCACTTCAGTGCAAAGACAGGCTGGACGTGGAATGTCACAGAGACCTGGACAGTTGACAAGAAAACAGTGCTAGCTGCCAGCTACCTTTTCTCTCTTTATTTGTCATGATTAGTGCTTGTTTTATGTCAGGAAGGCTCAAGGCATTGTCCTGTAACTGACTGGCATGTTGGGAAGTTGTAAACTGAAATACGGGCCAGACAGACAGACTGGCATTTTTTGGGCTTAGCAGAGGAAGCAAACACAAAGCTTCCTGGTTGGGGAAAGAGCACTGGTCCACAGCTTGCCTTTTCTTGGCACGGCCTGTCCATTCCCAGGATTGCTTACCTCTTCTGTAAGCAGTTTTGCCAGGTATGTGAAAATTAAAGCTCCAACAGTAGTAGATAGACTGAATTGGATAGACTGCTTGAGGCAGTTACTGTCTCCTCTTGTGCTGTACCTGAACCATCCTTCTTGGGACTCCTACAGAGTGCTGCCTGCAGCATGGATGAGAAATTAACTCATACCTCTCCTCTTAAACAACTTCAGCTTTTGATTTGGTATGATAAGATCAACCCCAGTTTCAGGGTGGCTCAAAACTGCAGTTGTTCAGGAGCAGCTTCATGAGCTGTTTGGTCCTGAGGTGGCAAACTCTGTCACGGAGTGGGGTGAATGGTTGGGGGTGAGAGCAGTAACTCCTTCAGCCATCTGATTTTAATCCCTTACCATATGTGACTAGAAGTCCTTAGATGCCCTCTACTGCCATATACCAGAATTAACAGATGGCTCTGTGTAACCAAATTCAGATTTGCTGAAGTCTGTTATTATCTCTTTGTAAATGAACAGGGGAGGGGAAATAATATCCATAATTATTACAAAATATGCAAAGCCTTTTATAAAGTGTGAGTTTGGGCTAGACATCTTTTCCAACTTTCAATGTCATTGCCCTGTATTTCCAATTTTAACACTATTTTTAGCATTCTTTTCAGAGCTCACTTCTCTGATAAATTTTCCCTCTGGGAATAAATTTGATCCAGAAAGATGCCTGAGGCACAGCAGAATTTTTACCAAGCATCTCAGGCCACATCATGCTAGACAGAAGGAAGCTACAAAACCTGCTGCTGTAGATCAGACCCTGTTCTGGGAAGGAACTAAAGGATGTGTTTTGCCATCGGATGTATCATTTGCATAGGGTAGAACAGCAGGCAAGAGTCTGTATCTAAAATGGAGTAAGAATGACATTTCTGTCCCACGTTTGCCTGTGTTATGACTGGTTTGGTGTGCTGGCAGGCAAAAAAGCAATCCCAAGTCAAACAGAACTAGTCCTGGAGGGAATCAGCTCTACAGGCTTTAAGAATCAAGTGTTTCTGTGGTGCTTGATCTTCGGCTGTGTTGGCTGTATCAACTCCTTTTCCCTTCTATAAGGAAAATCCAGCAAAACAATCCCACCTTTAATTCCCCAGCTGAGGTTCCTGACGCTGATTTGAGTAAGTGGGTTTGCTCCAAATGAAATTAGCAGTCACATTTTGTGTGTTTTTAAACATGCCTACCCTTTTCTGAGGACAGTCTATTACTGTTTATTTTTTCTAGATGTTTGCCAGTGATGTTACCAATAGAGGCAGGCACGGCAGGAGGGAGCGCGAGCTTTCCAGTGGAACACTTGATGGCGGGGATCTGCTGCAGGTGAGTAAATGAGAACATATACAGAGGCCATGTAGCAGGGCCTCTGTCAGGCCAATAAAAAGATAAAGCTTGGGTTCATCAAAGGGGTGAGCTTTCACATTACACTTCCTTTGCCTTCCAGCAGTCCCCCACTTCCAGGCACACTGGTCTAGAATATGCTACTTATATTTTTCAGGAACTTTCATCATTTTTCCAGAACATAATCTCCAACTAACAGAAGTCCATAGCAAAATCTTGTTGTGAATGGGGGCTTTGTTCTGTGAGGCTGTTTCTGAAAATGCCTGGCTCTCTGTTAGCCATTGCACAGAAGGCTGAAACATGAATTTATTCATATGATTTTGTTTTCAGCGTGTTTATTCCTTCAACCCTTCCCCTCCTTTCTCCAAGAAATACACAAAGCTCCTGGCAGGTGGGCTGTATACTTTGTGGTGACAAACCGGCAAAGGTATACCCAACAATGTGGTCCATTGCATATATTTTTACTAGATCCGTGTTTTTGCAATTTCCTCATGTTCTTTCAATGGCTTTTTTCCCCCTTTTCTATCCATCAGGGAGTGGAATCCTGTGTCTAGGGAATGTAAATAGCAGCTGTTTCCACTCAATTTGCATTTATATACTTAACACTTCAAAATAGATTATTTCTAGAAGCTTTCACAATCTAGTCAAAATTCCTACGTAGTCAGAAGGACTGGTGAGATGTTAATGAAATCCCTTTGGACTGGCTGATGGAAAAGATGCAGCAACAACAAAATTCCCCAAATGACACATCCGTTATGCTTCTGACAGTTATACTTCCAATAGTCAACTGGAGCCTATCTTTTAATCTCCTGCATTTTCAGGATCAGTTCCTTGGGCTGTTCTAAGGGGGTGACAGTATGCCAGGTAATGAGATGAACTGCTAAAAAATATGTGCTGAACTGCTACTGTATTTCTAGCAAAATTAATTTAGGAGTATACCTGGGAAAAAAACCCAAAAGCAATGCCTGGCAAGCTGTTGAAAGTCAACAGCTTATTTGCCAGTGTCACAGATTTTTAAATAAATGAACCCCTTCTGTCCTGAGAGTAACTGAAAAAAAAAACCCAGCTCTTTGGGTTTTATACCAGTATTTTCTTTTGTTGACATTTCATTTAGTAATGCCTAAGTGAAGATTTCAAGGATTATGTCCAATTATTGTTTGGTTGTTTTTTTTTCTGCAGAAGCCTTTGAAGGCCTTTCACCTCATTATTTTTCCAAATGCCATAACTTGAACCATTTCTTGAGATTTCTTTGAACCTCTGAAAGCCGAGAATTACAGAACATTAACATTTAGTGACCTTTGGTATGGTTCATTTACTCTGATGGGGACTGCTGAAGAAGATGCTTGCTCCTAAATCTGTATTTTGTTGAAAGTTACAAAAATGCATTTTCTTCTCTGAATATTTGTTTATCCAGAAGAAAAATCTTTTTATTTTTACAGGAGTGTCAACTGGGGCATCTCTGAACTGGACTGGACAATCTTGATGACTCAGATTGCTTACAGAACAGTTGTTATGCGTGTGAGTTGCTAGTTTTGAATGTATCACTAAGTCTGTACCACACTGATTCAGACTTAGTAGTCTGAACAGACAGTCTGAGCTCAGCCTGTCTGTAAAAACGACGGTCCTAACTACCTGATTTCAGGAAGCATACTTGTATTTCTAAATAAAAAAGTCCCTGATGCCAAGAGGCTTGGCTTATATCCACACTAACTAGGGCTAGTTCACTCTAGAGAAGACTCCTCTACTCATATCCCACAGTACTCCTTGGACTCTTTCTGGACCCTATAGACTCAACATATAATTCAGATTTTTTTGTTTTATCTTTCAGTTTGAAGCATCTGAAATGATGTTAAACTGTACTGCAAGCAGTGAGACTGGTGCTTTCCTAGGACAAAGTGAGGGTATGTTTTTCATATTCTGGATCTGGCAACGTTTGAGGGTGCTCAAGCAGTTTAGAAGAGCACGTAGGGTAAAGTCAGACAAGATGTGACCTTGGGAGCAGTGCTTGGTGTGAACTCTCCCCACAGGGATGTGGAGCCATTGCTTTAAAGAGGGCTAGGTGGAACAGAGGGAAGTAACAGAGGTGTGACGACTGAAAGCCAGAACTTGCTCCTCAGCATGCAGCAGTTAAGGGCATGCTCAGAGGGGCTCCGAGTATCAGTCTGCTGCTGGGGACCACTTCTGACCAACATAAAGGGTAGACCACAGGTATTTTGACTACACGATTCACTCTTAAAGAAATATAAGGCTTCTCAATACATCTTTTCCACAAAATCATGAGCTAAAATCTTGGTCATTGGCCTGAATTCAGCTGTAACAGTTATTTTTCTTCCTAGTTAGCTGGTGGTGTGCTGTGCTTCAGCTTTACTCTGACAACAGTGCTGGTAACACACCAATATTGTAGTTGCTGCTACATAGGGCTTACTCTGATGGAGGACTTTTTAGTCTCTCATGCCCTAACAGTGAGGAGGGGCACAGGAAGCCAAGAAGAAGCAGAGATAGGACACCTGACCTAAATTAGCCAAAGGGGTGTTCCATACCACAGCATATCATGCCCAGTATATAAACTGGGGGGAGTTCCCTGGAAGGCCCAGATTGTTGCTTGGGTTGAGCTGAGTATCAGTTGCTAGGTGGTGATCACTTGCATTGTACATCACTTGTGTTTGTTGTTTGTTGGGTTCTTTTCCTTTTTAGTTTTATATTCTATCCCCTTATTATTATTACTAGTACTAGTAGTTTTATATTGTACGTAAGTTATTGGACTGTTTTTATTTCAACCCATGGGGTTTACATTGTTTTGATTCTCCTCCTCATCCTGCCTGCAGTGAGGGTGGGGAGTGGGAAAAAAGGGTATGTGGTTCCAAGTTACCAGCTGATTTTCTTATCTGTGCTTATGTTGAACTTACCGTGATGAATTCTGATTTATTTTTTTTTTCCTCTACTCTGGATAGGAAATCCTTTTTCTCCTTAAAGTTCTAAAATTTGTGGAACTTGCTGCCAGTTTCCCCATTGCTAATGCTAGGATTTTAACTGTATGAAAAAATAGTACAGGGGAAAGGCAGTTTTACAAAGATATGAGATACCTTTGGAAAATGACAAGTGACCCCATACTTAAGCCAGTCAGGATTAAAAATTACAAGATAAAAAAATATGAAAAGGGATGTGGAGCCTTGTGCTACTGAATACCAACTGTTAACTAACTGGGGGTCAAGGAAAAATTCTTCCTGGCATTAGCTTATGACTCAGTTGAAAACCTCACTGTCTCTTAACTAAAGCAGAAGGTGAAGATGACTGCTGCAGGACAGCTCTGGTCCAGTATAACTCCTACAAATGCTGACTTCAGAAAAATACCTCTTAGCTTATTATTTGTTTAAACAAATACAATGTACATTTGAATAATAAAGACTAGCAGTACTTAAGAAACACTAATCCTCACATGAAACTATAAAGCTCTGTTAACATTAGCTAGTAGGAAATAGATGTTTGTACAGTAGAGTCATGCTTTAAGAGTTTAATCTTTTACTTCAGTTAATTTTTATTTTACATGATAATGGGTTAATGTGGTAGCTTAGTGTAAGTCACTTTTCATCACTTATTTAAATATTCTGTGATACTTACATGGTTAAACTTCTACTAGTTTTGGCAGAGGAGAAGCTAAAAAACAGCTCTTCCAGATTTTTATTTTTTTTTCCTATGATACTCCTATTTTGCTGGTAGGGAGATTCTTTTGCTGGGGAATTGCAAACTTTGGTAGCAGTCAAAACTGGCCATATTTAAAGCGGTAAACTGCCTCTGGCCCAAGACTGTTTTTCATCTTGACAAGCAGTAAAGCTGGATATAAGCACAACTGTTTTCCGTATTCATTACTTACTTGATTTTTCAGAAGGACTAGCTAGCAAAGTTTGTCAGTTCCATTGGTCATTCCAACCTCCTGTGGTGCCTCGAGGTAATGAAAAACTCTATGATATCTTGACTACCATTTCTCACCTACATCAAGACACTTAATAAAGTGGTACTCAGGGCTATAAACTTCTCTCGAAGCCATGCAATGCAAAATTGTTGAACAAACATGCTGTTCGATTCATGCAGCTTCCACATAGCTCCTGCCTTCTGATGTGGAGTGTCCTAACAGCTGCATTTATATACAGTGGAACTAATAGGCTGTGTAAATACTATTTTAATTTTCAGATAATTTTGTGTATGTTGCCTAGTACATTATCATTTATTGTGTTCACTTTTCTAGAAGTACCTAGAGGTAACAGTTGTGATCAGGAGCTCATTAGAAGAGGTACTGTAAAACACATAACTATCTTACTTCTCCTCTGACTACACAATGAATGAAACAACATCTTAAGTATTATCTTTCAGCATTGGAGGGTTGATTAAATATAGAGGTGAGAATAAAATCCTGTATACAATTTATTCAGAGTTACAAATCCTGTGTGAATTGCTCTATGCAGTAAAAACATGTACTCTGTGCGGAGAAAACAGAGTCCCTATGTATGGACTACATGCTATTGAAGGCTAGCAGGAGCAGCATTGTTGCCTTTATCTTAAGCTCAGTATTTTTCTTTTACATATATGATAAAAAAGTCAAACTGCTTTCATTGTTCTGATGCAGGCATCTCACCTTCAACTAAGTTTCACTCCCCATTCATAGATGAGAAGGAGAAAGCACCTCCAGAGAACAATCTGTGTGATATTCTAGGTAATAAAATCTTAAAGATCAACTGCCCTGGGTAGGTATTTTATTTTCCCCTGTCAATTGACTATAAAGGGAACCTACAAAGACTAACTCAGGCTTAGAGGTCTAATTAGTAGCCATCTCAATCTTAGATGAATCCAATTTATATCTATGGTAGGCACACAATTTGTCTGATGTTTATTTTGGTGATTGGTGAGCTTGCTTTAAGCCAGTTTTATTATATTACAGCATTAAAACAAACCTCTATTGCAGAAGAGGAATGCAGTTTACATCTGTTCGATCTCTTCATTATATAACTTTGTATTGCTTTTGAGGGTGGAATGAGCATGCCAAATTACAGCTGAGCAGCTGCTAAAATTTGTTGTAAAGACTGCAATAACTGAGAAATGCAGTGTTGGCTTTAAATATCAGTCATTACTGTGACCTGTACCAGAGCTGCAGCAGTAATTTGTCCTAGTACAGCAGAATTTAGACATAGCAGCTGAAATTCGGATCCACTACAACAGTACAGGGACAAGAAGTGAACTTTCCTATAGGACTGACTAACTGGAGGGGTGGGAAGGGACGGATGGACCACTCCTCCCTCCATTAATCATCACAAGGAGCTGAAGCATAAAGACAATAAACTTGTCACACAAGCGTATTTGGCGGCTGGGTCCTGTTACGGCCCCACCGTTGGCTCACTGTTTTCACAATTGGCAGGGTCACCTTTTATTTTGTTTGAACATACATCTCTGCCACAGGTTGCAGACATAACAGGCAAATCTCACAAAAGGATCCTTGACCCTTTGAATCCAACCACTTTCAGACTGGCTAGAGAGTTCCTTTTTCTTAAATACTTACAGATTTAAAGAACGGCTAATGTATGTCGCTTAGTGTTAAATTTGATGACATACCTAAATCCCGTTTGGTCTCGGACAAATCCAGTTGAGTAACTGTGCAAGATTGCCTCCTGGTGGTAGTCCCAAGCATCTGCAGAACAACATAATTTGCACATAGGAAAAAAGGCAAAAACCTGCTTTAAAAGCGTGCTTCTTTTTAAAATATTAAAGTCTAACTAAAGAAAGTGAAAGACCTTTCTTTTCATTAGGACTGAACTGCAGTTTTAATGGTCTGAATCGATATTATTAAAAAAAACACAACAAACCAAAATCAGTAAGACATACCAAACTACTATCAACAGCAATGAGCCTAGTAAGGTCTGAAACACTTAGTAACTACTAGATACAAAACAAATGGCTAAGTGCCTAAAATTGGCTACAGAGACACCAAAGCAGACTTGACAGTATACGCTAGGCAACTAAGGTTTTCAATTAACTAACAAACGCAACAGAAGACAGCCCAAACTAATTTTCAGATGGATTATCCTTTCACACAGAAGTGGGACAAGAATTAAGTGGATGAATTTTTAAGTTTTTAAGTGAACTGAAACAGATAAAGACAGTTTTACATAGTTGTTCAATATCTAGAAAAACAGGAGGACAGCTTGGAATTACTGTAGAGGTGGATTTTTCTTAGGTCATGCTTCAGATGACTCAGGAGAAAGATTAGTAGAAGAGAACATAGATTTAGAGTGGCAGCGTAAGAAAGGGAAAGATTTTGAGGTATCAATTCTATGAATTAATGTAGTAACAAAGTGGCAGAGCGCACATTTAGTGAAAGTGTTTTAGACTCTCTCTGCAGTAACTGGTCAGAAGAGGAAGTACTTTAAAATAGCAGCCCAGCACATCATAGGTTTTTAGACCTCAAAATACCTGAAAAACATCCAAAAATGTCTGGGAAACATTGAGAAATCCCACATTTCTACAGTGATTGTGGATGTTTGATCATAAACAGGGTCTGACAGGCAAGAACAGACAAATGTGATAACAGGAGGTTTCTGTAAAGCAAAACATCTTAATAGTATTACACAGCACTAAGAAAAAGTATCACAGAGAAGAAGGGGGAAAAATAATTCAAAGTTTAAATTAGTCCAAGGATGTCTTTTTCTTATGCTGGAATAAAGTCAAGTGGTGACAAATCAGGTCTCAGCTTTCAAAAAATAAAGGGGGGCTTATTTTTATACAGTGGGACATGAACAAAACAATAAGTATGAGATGGAAGCTGCTCACATATGGACCAGTGTCAGTACCAGGTACAATGAATTGATCAAAATCCTAAAATTTGTTGTACTACAAAAATTACTAAAAACTATTTTTAAAGTTATATTTTAAGCAGGAAAAAAAAAAATGAGTATTTTGACATGTCTGAACTTGCAGAGTAAGCAGTGATCCTTCTCATAGACACAACAGACATTCCTTCACGATAGCATGTTTGTTATCACGTGAGCAACACATCATATAACACAGAGCCAAAATTGCTTGGCTGATGGAGGCTTAAACATGGACTCTGGTATCTTACAAACATAACAGAGAATAAGCAAAACTACTCCATGCTTTGCCATCATAAACCACTATCAGCTAAACTGTCACTTGGATTTAAAAATGCATTTTTAAAAATAATACCAACAGAACAACTTAGACTAGCTTCACATACAATTTTCCAGAAGCATTTAAAGGGAGGCTTTTACACACACCCAACATTGCCTTCTCTCATCCTCCCCAGTTACAGGAAATTCAGAGAAAAAAAGGTTATTCAGTAATAACTTTAGAAAGTAAGTGTTCTTTATAGTAACAATGACCAGGATGAGAAATTATATGGTACTCAATTTGTAGCAGAACCTGTAGACAACACATGCTGGTAAAATGACACTAGACTAAAGCAAAGAAACAAGAACCTTCCCAGGTTATTCAAGTTGCTTTGGAAAGGAAATACAATCAAAATGTATAACATACATGGGATAATTATTTTCTGATTATTTATAAGGATATGCTTATAAATAGTGTTCCAAGCTGACCCCTTCTATCTGAAGGCTGATGCCTAAAACTGTAGACCAGACTAAAGAATCTCATTTTCCTGAGGAAAATAAAAGGCTAGGTGACAAAATATTATAATAGCAGAGACATTTAAGCACTACAAATTGCTAAAGCTATGAAGTAGAATAAAACAAAAATTTATTTAATTTAAAGCATTTTATGTCATAAAGGGCAAATCCTTCCCCCTTGGTCAGCGAGAAAGAGCTGGAAATCTTCACTGATTACCTTGCTAAGGCAAAGAACTTTTCCTCTCCTGAGCTACAGCTATTTTGATTTACATAGGAACACAGCATCCTCACTGAATGGTAAACGGGGTGGGGTATAAAACACAAACCCATCAACTCCCTGCCCCAAACTATGAATACACACAGACGTTCTCACAGCTATTTGGGATTCCTGGCTGATTTAGAAAGGCGAGCTGTTATGCCTTGGATGCTAAAATGTAACCAAGTTGGCCAGTTTTCAGTACCTGACAATAAGCCTTAAATACAATCACTTGGCTGATGTTGGATTAAACATGGAATCAGATAACTTACAAGTGTAATAGAAGCAGCAAAACTATTTTTTCACTCTTTTCATAAATACCTCATATTTTTTATCAATAGCCATTAAGACCTCAGTATTCAAGCTCACCTGCATTTCAGTTACTAGATTTCTAAAAACATAACTATCCTTCCAGAATAACACCAAACCCTAACGTGTCCAGTTCTGGACTTCCCATTCTGACACAAGGCTTCTGTGCATTCACTTTACCAATGATAAGCCTCTGACCAAGTTTAATCAAGAGCACTCCATCACCTGCTGCATCCAGCTCTAAGACTTGGTCATTGGCCGACCATGCTTGTACAACAGCTGTCACTGAACCCTTGCTTTATTAGTGCAATTTTGTCGTTTTTCTGTCAACTTGCTGAAGTAGAAGAATCCAATTTAGCTAAGCATGTTTTTGTTATAGCACTCGCACAGAACTGCCAAACATCTCACTTTCTGTAATTTTTATTTCCAGTAAAGATTACTAGTAATGTGCTGATGAACAAGAAGTTGTCCCAATTATCGGTCTTTGGGAGGATTAGGATTCCTGCGTCTTCTATGATACCTAGAAGAAAAAAAGGCTGCAGTGAATGAAAGCTTTGGACAGTCTTGGATTTCCCTCATGCTTTCACCCCCAGCAAGTGATCTCAGGTTAGACAAGCAAAACACAAGTTACACAAGCACAGCCTATCCATCACTCATTAGATGTCATCTCTGTTGTTTGTGGAGTTACATAACGCTGATCATTTCTATTGCTATGTCTGCTACAAGCATGCAATAATTCAGTCAGTTCTACAGCTGAATAGGCACAAAGACTGCTGTTTATTATTCTTAATCCTTTGTCTGAAATTAATTTTATTACATGGTCAGCTTTTCCTCTGGCTAAAGTGATTGCTACAGAACAAAGAGACTTGATGTTTAAAGGACTAGTGACAGACTATATATTAAATAGTGTAATATTTTGCAGACAAACTAAAAAATTCTGACAACAAAAAAATTATCCCTACTTTTCCCTCTTAATTACCCACCCTAAATCAAGGAAGACCCTTTTTGATGCTCATTAAAATGACAGATACCCTTTGGCCATAGAAAATTCTACCATTTCATTCATTTTATCTACCCCCAAAGCACAATAATTAAAGTATTCTGGGGATTTTAAAAAATATATATATATATTCTGCCTGTATCAAGCCTCCACAGCTATGAAATTAGCAACTACCAAAAGATGTAGTAGCAAACTGGGAAAGTAACACAAACCAGAATGCTGGGTATTTTCATGGGTCTACCTGAGTGTACATAGTTCCTCTTTGTCATGCACCTTTGCAGCATTCCTCCTCCCCCAGCTTTCTGAATACAAGGCACTCAGAGGTGCAACCTTCACCATTCAAATGGGAAATCTCTGCTATTCTTATGTCTGAGAACTGCCCTATTGATTTTTTTTTTTTTTGAAGAGTCATTAAGAAACAGACAGTGCAAGTTTCCAGGCTGTGTCCAGTCATGTCCATTGACGGTATTTTACTTACTCGATTCTTTTATGCAACTTTGATAACTGCCTGAACTAGTAACTAACTAGATGGTATGAGAAATTTCTGTGACATCTTTCATAGTGGCAAAGGCTGCCAAAAGGGCAGCATTAAAAAACCCTCATGGAATACAGTTTTCCATTTACACAATGCTGCATTTAAGATTTTATGCAATAGCCCATGTACTAACAATATCCTGTCTCACATGACTTACCTGAGGTTGAATCTGGTCATTAAGTTATTCCTCTATTTCCCTTTACCTCCAAAAGGAAGAAACACTGAAAATACTTACTGTCCCACAGGATACCAGCGATGTTTTGTTGTGTAAAACATTTTGCTGAGCTCTTCGATTGTAGGACCTTGATCGTTCTTTAGCTCTTTTTCGTCCAATCTGGATTTCAAAACTTGATCAAGGTTTTCTTCTTTATTATTCACTGGATCTGGCCGTGGTATGGGCTATAAAAACAGTAGTGTATATATATATTCCTTTTCTGAGAAAAATCAAAAACCAATCTACACAGATAGCATTACTCTTGACAGCTGAAGCCAAAGGCATACAGAAAAATGCCTTCAATTGTAAAAGCTGTTTACCACACCCCACCCACCCAACCAAAGCACCAATGTGGTGCAGATGTCTAGAGAACTAATTACCCTACATGCTACAGCTGGTTACCCCTAAAATCAGCACTGCTGTCATCATTCCTGCTAACCTCAATCCTTAAAATTCACCTGCGGAATCAAAAGCTTCACTTCTGCTAATCCAAAAGTATTCATATTATTTCTATTTAGAAATTTATTCATAGTGATAAAAATCACCACTAAAAAAGCTTTTACATGATGTGTACCTTGGAGAAGAATGTCACTTCCTAATTGTTTGTGCATCTGCTAAGACTAAGATGTTTGTTTTCAACCTGAAACCTAACTCCTAGCACCATTACAAGCATTTTTCCTTGGTTTAGTCTTTTCCCGAGATGTATGCAACTGGTACATTTAAAAATACTGGTATATAACTTGCCCGCAAAGACTGCTAAAATGTTTCAAGTTTTCAATGCAGAATTTTCACACTGGGTACTTCAGCAACATGGCTACCATTTGTAGTGTTTTGCTAGCATGAGAACTGGAAATTGAAACAAATAGCACACACTAGAAAAGCTTTTCTAAACTTACTTTCATCTGTGTAAAGAACACACTCTAAGTACTGCTGACAGATAAAAATTTGGTATTTATAAAGGTTTTTTGTAGTGTTTATAAGGCAAGAGTACTGAAGAGAATTCAAAGCTTGAGTTGAAAACAGCAGCACTTCGTTATATTCTCTTGCCCAGACTGCAGCATCTGTACATATGGATGTGTGAAGTATAACCTGCATTCCAAACATCCTCTTGAGGAGTACACTCATACAGACACTAGTTTTCTCTGAAGTGCACAAGTATCTGAGTGCCTCATTTAATTCTATTTGAGTTACTATAGACTGTGCTATCTGAGCATTTCTTTCTCTGCCACTTTCCCTCAATTCACCTAAGAACAAGGTCCTCATGGCAGCAGCTACATTCATTGTTCACTAACTTCACAGACATGTTGATCACATGCTAAAAAGTATCTCGGTATTTCATATAAAAAAAAGGTACCCTCAGGACTCAAAATTATAAACTACTTATGTCTTTACAAAAGTACAAAATATAAATGTATACATTTGGACCTACTTTTGTATGCTCATATGGAATCTCAAGCGATGGGTGGTAGCAGACAATTGTCTTCAGATCTGATGTCACTGCAAGTTCCACTTTGCTATAAAAATAAAACCTCAAATATATATGCTTTACAATTTTCAGAAACGCTGAACAAATAAACAGCCCAAGTCCCAAAGAAAACTAGATTTGCCCCTGCATTTATGAATTCTTAAGAATCTTCTATAAAATAAACCCTTATAAATTAACAGTCACAAATATTTGATCTGAACCTCCTGTATTCTGACCCTTTCCCCTTTCTACCCTCCTCACCATCATCTTCATGTTTCTTTTTTGGATGAAGAGGAAGAGCGAGCTAAAAGAAAGTAACTGGGTTAGAAATAAAATCCCTAACGCTTCAGATAATTGCATGTAAAACTGTATCAACAAATGGGGAAAGATGATGTCTAGGACAACATGCCTTTATAAGAAGTATGGCACTTACAAAAAGAAGAATAGGAAATAAAGCTCTATTTGGGGTTCCAATTTTTACATTTCGTACAAGATGACGAGCATGATGAACAGACACTACTGAGAGGTTCCTTGAGGAAATATGACTTTTCTCACCTTCCTTCCTGTTCCCATGACACATTATCTTCCTAAAACCTTTTAGGGCTCGCATGCCAGTGTTTACCATTATACTTGTATTGTCTTTCATGGTTTCTACACAACTTTCTCGTGCAGCAGACAAAAATACCTGGACTTTGTCTTAACAACAAGCATCAATGAAAACAACTGCTTTTAGCTATTTTCATAAATAAAACTGCAGGGGTACTGGGGTCAGCACCATGTTTAGAATGAGTCCTGCATGATTCTTCATTATGCTTACTTTTTGAAATACTGACTTCGTAATTGTTATGATCACAAACAGTACGTTAGTTGAAATTCTAACGGATATCCAAAACTGGCAGAAGGTGTATTTGATACCATTATATAACTTCACAACAGATAAAATAGCCCTGGAATAAATGTCACATGAAAAGGCCACATATGAAAGCACATTTAAGTACCAGTTGTAGTCTTCAGGGAGAACTGAATATGTAGATTTATGGCAAGCACGACACACAGCTCCATCTGCAGAAAAACAAAAAACACCAAAACAAAACACTACATGTAAAAACAAGCAGAGCTGTGCCAAGTTTAAGAATGTTTACATTTTCATTCTAAGTCTGAATTGGGGATTACAATCATTGTCAGTTTTCAATTAACAAAATGCAAATACTTTCTAAACAGACATACACTTTACTGCACAGATTTATAGTGCAATCAAAAAATACGGTATCTAGGTAGCTATGGTCTACATTTACGTTTCCAGTTGTATTGTTTTCCTACAGAAAACCACAGTATGAACAAAATACCTATAGGTTTGACCATTAGAGCATATTCTTTATATAGGCAAAGAACATTACCTTATGACTTACATGCACGATCATAATTTCATTCATAGCAATATTTATTATAAAAAAAAATAAATCAAATTTTTACTTCACTGGTGACTTTTATATGTGCTATACAAAACACAAAACTATCATGTCTTGGTTGCAGTAACCCCAGAAAACTTTACCCTTCTGCCCAGGTTCCTGCAGCTTCACCCCAGGCAAAGAAATCAACCAGTAAATTACAAGTAGTAAAGAAAGCCAAAAGCACCCAGGACTGTACTAAGTAGATGGAGGGATGGGGTTATCTCCCTCTACTCAGCACCTGTTACACCACATCTAGGTCCTATGACCAGTTTGGGGTCCTTTAATAAATGGTGAACTGGCACAAGTTCTACAAAGGCCTACCTAGATAGACAGGGCTGCAACACCTGCTCTGCAAGGAGAGGTTGAGATGGGAGCTGGCTCAGCCTGAAGCAGAGGCAGCTTTGGGGAAACCCAAAAGCAGCCCCCAGTGACTGTTCATGATAGTGGGGGGTTACTGAGGTGAGGGAGCCAGTCTTTTCAGTGGTGCACAGTGGAAGGACATGAAACACCACCCTCAGTTGAAACGAGAGGCTCTGGCTGGATACACAGAGAAACATTTTCCTCATGACACCATCCAGGCAGTGGGGCTGGGGCCCAGCCAGGCTTGTGCAATCTCTACTCTTGGAGACTTCAAAAGCAAAGCTGGACAAGGCCTTGAGCAACCTGGTGTGACTGCAGAGCTGAGCATGCTCTAAGTGGGAGGTTGGACCACACACCACCCAAAGTCTCTTCCAAGTTCTCCCACAATTCCATTCCCAATTTTTCATAGAATCATTTAGGTTAAAAGATACTTTTAGGATCATAAAGCTCTGTCGAGATATTGCTGCAAATAGTTCATATCTCTTCCTAGGATTCTTCCTAAGATTTCTTTCTCCTCCTCGCTCACTAACCTCTAAAATGTAACATGTCTGTTATGTTTTCTCACTTCCTGTCTTTTCTATTGCCTTTGCTACCTCCGCTGCATCTACCTATTGACACCCAAAACATACATAAAAAGGTAAGAAATAACATTGCCTGTTTTCACTTCCCTGTTTACATTGAGTAATGAGATCTTGCTGTAGCCTTTTTTCTCACCACCGTTTGAAAAAAAAAAAAGATTAAATTTAATTAAAATCAAATACAGTGGTCAGAGGAGTGGTATTTACAAGCAAATTAATAAATTAGAGAAGCACCATATGTGGACCACAGAAGCTTTAAGAAGAAAAAAAGCCAAAACAAGATCCCCTTTAATTATCAGCAGAGAAGATGGAATATCAGACTTGGCTGTGTTCAAATAACAACTGACTTCCACACTTCCATTACTTTAAGCAGCACAGGAAAGAGGCTCTCAAAGAACAAATTTTAATACAGGATTTCTACAGTTTCATCACTACTTACTCTGCAGCGGGGCCTGCTTACAAGCTGCTAGTGAACGCATCCAGAAGAGGCTGGGCCACGCAGTTCTAAGTGATGTTGCCATGTTGGCAGCAGAAAAGAAACCAGTCCTGGACAAGATGGAACTCAAATGGACACCGTAACCTTTTTTCCTGTAGAATACTTTCTGAAAGAAACCAGTTTCAAAGCTGTTCAGGGTAGAAAAGCCAAACATTTTAATTTCTTGAATATCATAAAGGTAAATAAAATGTGTGCAGTAGATTCTTCATTATTTATCAGTGGTTTAGAAGTCCTTTAGTTAAGATACTCACACCTGCCTCCTTAACAGTCAGTGGGGAACAAGACTTTATTTGCTGAGAGGTACTCTTTGAAGGTACATCATCAGTGTTATAAAAAAGGTTTCCAAGCTTTGGTCTTCTCAGTTTTTACCCTAATACTTACTTAAGTTTTGCATCCTTCCCTCTGTGTATTCCACAGAATTATTCCCAAAACATGCTTTTCTTGTTTGAGATGTAAATAGCATCACCCACTCTAAAAATAGAAGTACTTATCCTCAACACTTACTGTAGTTACAAACTGGTTAGATGCTGCTGCCTTCATCCATCTCAAAATCTATGCACCTAAAAGCTACAAAATACCATTTAGAATACCTCAAATATTACCCAAATGTCACAGAAGCAGAAAGACACATAAACAAGCTTTCATTTGCTAGAGGGGAAAAAAAAATGTTTTGAAGAAGACTATATAATGATGTCTAAAAACCACATAACTGGAGACAGTTTATAGATACATTCATAAAAATATAAGCAAGAAACGAGACCTCTTTAAAACTACTCCACATTTAGTGCTTCAGAACATTACTGAGAGTGTGCACTTTACAGTTGCAGCAACTAACTCTTCATCATTTTCTTTACCGGTGACAAGTGCTGCTGAATCTAGAGAACAATAACCCAGTGCCTGCAGCGCTGCTCATGACTTGCTTTTGAAGCTCATTAACAAAAAGGTGTGAGAAATAGGGTGGCTCTGGACCACCTTGTTCCAGGACGGGCTGTGACACCCGCCTGTCCTTTGCCTTGCCTCAAGGACTGTCCTCAAGGTCAGTTCAAATTGGGGTGCTCCTGCCTCCGAGACAGCACCCATTTAACCCTTAAAGGGATGCCGGCAGCAAGCAGCAATACAAAACCTGACACTTCTATTAATAATTATTTTGCTTAAAAAAAAAAGTCATCTGTTAAAGCAAGCAAATGAGTGCCCATTATAGAATAGAATAATTTGAGCTAGAAGGAACCTTAAGTATTACCGAGTTCCAACCCCCTGCCATATGCAGGGCTACCTTCCCCTAGACCAGGTTGCTCAAAGGCCCTTCCAACCTGACCCTGAAGATTCTAGCTGAGACTACAAACCACGGCAATTTAACCCCTCTGCAAGCACACGAACCCTGTTCCCCTGCCCCATTTCAGAGGCCTGCTTTGCCATGCCCCCGTTTCAGCCGAGCACACATGGACACTAACGACAAAACCCAACAAGGTGGGCTGCGCGGCGCGGCCCAGCTTTGCCCTCGCCCGCCCGCCTCCTGTCTGCCTTGCCTGATCCGCGGACAACAGCGTTCTCCCAGTGCGCAGCTCAACAGCCGAGCCCGGCAACCTCAGCCAGCCGGAAACAACGACCACCCGCCTCCCTCCGCCTACACCCGCCACCACGGCGCAGCGGTTACCTTCAGCACACCTTCAACAACCCGCACCCGGACAGCACAGGAAACAGCACCAAACACGCTTCCGCCGGCAGCTCCCCCCGCGGCACGCCGGGACACGTAGTGCTGGCAGACCTGTGGGCGGGGCCTGCTGCGGGCGGGGTAAGCTACCGCCTCCTTCTGTGCCCAGCGCTGTTCGGCAGCGGTGGGGAGACCTGAGGTGCTTTAGCGATCGGCAGCGGCAGCAGTAGGGCCGCTTCTTGGCTGGCCGGGCTGGCCCCTGATGGCGGAGGGGAGCAACAGGCCGAGCCGGGGGGCAGCGGGCGAACACCCATTCGTCCTCGCCCTCGGTGCTTCCTAGAGGTCCCAGGGCGGGTTTCGGGGCAGGGTGGTGCTCAGAAGCCCAGGTTTGGGGTGCTGGGGTTCCCCGGCGTCGGCAGCGGCTGTTAGACTCGGGGAGAGGGCTGGGGTCCCGCAGCAGGCAGTAGCGTTGATGTAGGATGTGCTACAGTGTTCCATTGGCTGTGGGATAGCCCCCTCAGTTCCTGTAGTCTGAGCCATAGAGACGTAGAGTCGTTTAGGTTGGAAAAAATCGTGGAGTCCGGATGTTACCCCAGGACTGCCAAGTCCACCAGTAAACCATGTCCCGAAGTGCCACATTACACGGTTTTTGAACACTTCCAGGGACGGTGATTCCACCACTGCCCTGGGCACCCTGTTCCAGTCCTTAACAGCCTTTTTGGTGAAGAAATGTTTCCTAATACCCAATCTAAATCTCCCCTGGTGCAGCTTGAGGCCGTTACTGCTTGTCCTATTGCTTGTTAGGCAGAAGAGACCAGCAACCTTGCTCCATTCTCCTTTCAGGTATTTGTAGAGTGTGATAAGGTCCCCCCTGGGCCTTCTCCAGACTAAACAACCCCAGTTCCTTCAGCTGTTCCTCATCAGACTTGTGCTCCAGGTCCTTCACCAGCTCCATTGCCCTTCTTTTGACCCACTCCAGCACCTCAATGTCTCTCTTGTAGTGAGTCAGAAGTCATGACTCGAGAGATTGCTCTCATTAGCAGTACCAAAGGTTTCTTTTTAATTCGTTGTTTTCCTGACTGTGGGAGATGGAAGACCTCCATTCTGGGTTTCCTTGCAATATTAGGCTCAGTAAGCTACAGAGAGAGGGGGCAGATATGGGCCAAAATGTTTATGTACTACTGGGAGAGGTACAATTGAGGTGGGAGATCTCCTTTCCACTACAAGTCTCTGCCATGTTTGTGGAGATCAGCTGTTCCCATCATTCCCACCAAGTTTCTGCATTCAGCTACAGCAGAGTTCGATCCAGGCTCAAGCACCAGACTGAAGCAACACAGTCCTATGTATTTTCTGTTGTGTACCAGCTCGTTATTCCCATGAGGAAATCGTTGTAGTAGTGTGAGGGCAGCCCTTGGATGAAGAGTAGCCTTTTGAAGCTGAGTACAAGCAAGGCAGTGGTTATGCTGGTGGGCAGAGAAAACATGTTCAGGATTTTAAGCTTATTCTCATTTGCTAGGCTATATTAAGTAAAATTAAGGCTTCCCTGACTTCTCTTGAAGGTGCTTATGACCGAGTTGTCATTGCTTCGTTAAAAGGTTGCCGAAGTTCAGTGATGATGATGGCTCTGATTGACACCCTGGTTTTTAGATGCTTTATCAAAAGGATATTGTTCATCCACACAGGAGACAAAAATCCTTTGCTGTTCAGTAAAAATGTTGAAATTAACTCCCTTCACAGCTGGAGACCAATGCAAATCACACCTGCTTCTTTCTCCCCAGTGTAAGACACATTGGTTTTGACTTACCCACTCTACATTGAGCAGCATCTATCAGAAAAAATATTTTAAAACCTCTATCTAGCCACTTACTTAGAAAATTGTCCTCTCAATGTGTTTGAGTGTATTAGTCATCAATATAAGCCTTCTGTGGTGCTCCTGCATACTGTTTCCTCTACCCTGCAAAGTCCTGCACCTGGGTCAGGGCAATCCCAAGCACAGATCCAGGCTGGGTGGAGAATGGATTGAGAACAGGCCTAAGGTGAGGGGACTGGGGGTTACTCAATGAGAAACTGAATTACCCAGCAGTGTGTGCTCGCAGCCCAGAAAGCCAACTGTATCCTGGGCTGCATCAAAAGGAGTGTGACCAGCAGGTCAAAGGAGGTGATCCTGCCCCTCTACTCTGCTCTCATGAGACCTCACTTGGAGTATTGTGTGCAGTTCTGGTGTCCTCAACATAAAAAGGACATGGATCTGTTGGAACAAGTGCAGAGGAGGGCCACGAGGATGATCAGGGGACTGGAGCACCTCCCATATGAAGATAGGCTGAGAAAGTTGGGGCTGTTCATCCTGGAGAAGAGAAGGCTGCGTGGAGACCTCATAGCAACCTTCCAGTATCTGAAGGGGGCCTATAGGGATGCTGGGGATGGACTCTTCATTAGGGACTGTAGTGATAGGACAAGGGGGAATATCTTTAAACTGAAAGAGGGTAGAGTTAGGTTAGATATTAGGATAAAGTTCTTTACTGTGAGGGTGGTGAGGCGCTGGCACAGGTTGACCAGAGAAGCTGTGGCTGCCTCATCCCTGGCAGTGTTCAAGGCCAGTTTGAACAGGGCCTTACGCACCCTGGCCTAGTGGAAGATGTCCCTGTCCGTGGTATGGGGGTTGGAACTAGATGGTCTTTAAGGTCCCTTCCAACCTAAAACATTCTATGATATCAATTTATTTGCTTTTATCAAGACTTTTTTTACTCATCAGTCCCCTGTGTATGTTCAGAGGAACTGCACACACACACTTACTCACAGGTCTGTGCACTCTTGCCAGCCACAAGTTTGAAAAAGTAGAGTTTCTGATGCTGCTGCTGAACATGACCAATCGATCTTCTAATGGTGGGGTTTGCTAGGCTGGTGGTATTCAGTTGTCAGCAGCTAAGGAGCTAACTCATCAGTGAGGTTGTAAAGAATAGCAGAATATCTTGAATGTGAAGGGGTTTTTGTCTGTTTGTTTGTTTAATAAATGTTGGACCACATGCCAGTCTGTACTGTTTGGTTTCAACAACTGTGGGTTTTTTTCCCCACATAGCAAATGCTGCATGGTTCTCCCTAGGGAATTTCTGGTTCCCCCCAGGAGAATCAGCCACTGGGAGCATTACTGGTACCTGTTGCCTACTGCTCTCACATCTTCAGTCTTCTCTTTCCTATCACTGGAAGGGAATATCACTTTAAGGTTCATCAGAAATTGCTAGCAATCCTCTGTCCCTTGTGTGAACTCACTGGGAACACTTGATAGCCCTCTGGAATCCTAATTCACAAAACAGCCTTCACTAGATTTTTTTTAGATTCCCTGGCTTTATACCCTTATTGCACAGCTAGCTTTATATTATAACCTGTGGGCATTTCTGTAATGATTTCATTCTGGAAATGTGTGCTTTCAAAACACCACTGTATTGGCAAGGCTCTTAACTTAAATCCTGGTTCTAAAAGTTTGCAGTTGAAGGTGTTGCAGAACTTGATTTTTGATACCTAAACCACAATGTCTGTTGAGCTTCCAGGCTATTTTTAGATGATTTC